TTTTTTTTTTTTTTTTTTTACGGGGGCTGTGTTTTCTTTTTTCCTCACAGTGACGGTAGGTATAAATCTAATATTTCCAACGACACGGGAAGGCACCGGAAGTTGCGTTCTGCTACTTCCTGAAGGAAAAGCGCTGTGGATCAGTCTAAGTTGAAAGCTAGCCATGTCAAGTGTTCAGGAGGCTTCCACAGAAACCACAGAAGTCAAAGAACAGAAGGAGTTTGAAGGAGATGCAGATGAACAGTTCGGGGAGAGTTTTGGCGCCGACCCGACCCGCTACACCTTTTATAGGTAGTTTTTCTCCCCCTGTCGCTGCTAACTAACTTAGCCTTGTTAGCTACTCGGTTAGCAAAGGGATGTTTCTAACAAGTTTCTTATGACAGTTTTTACATGTTTTTTTTTTAACTAAAACTTTATATACCGTAGTTATGTTATTTATCGTGCATTTAAGAGTTATTTATTACCAATAACAAAGCAGCTCAGTGTAAATGCAACAGCATAGGTTTCGGAATCAGTCTTAAATGCAAAATGTGTAAGTTAGGGAAGAAGGCGTGGCTGTTTCCAATGATACTCCATCTTTTTTGTTATTGTTTATTTGTTTGTGGTTGTTTTTCAGTTGTCAGAGTTGTTAGTACTTGGTGCAGGCAGTTACATCAGTCCTGTGTGTTTTTTATTGTCTTCCAGGGACCGGAAGGAGTGGGCCGATCTGGAGCCCGTTCCACAGGATGATGGACCAAACCCTGTGGTGAAGATAGCTTACTCTGATAAGTGTAAGTTGCTTCCTAGTTTATCTGGGAGGAAGTCTAAAAATAAAGAAGTGTAACCTAATAAATGAGTATTTCACCAAAAATGTATTTTTTCCAAAGTAAATATAAAGACTATAAGTGGTGTATATATTTCTGTCCATCTTGTTGATTGCTGCTTACAGTCAATGAGAACCAAAAACAGTGTTTTTTATTAGAAAAAATTATAATGTAAAATGTTAAAATACAAATATGTTTTATTATAGAAATAAAAGCCTGGTGAAAAGCGTGCATGCACCTCACGGTTTATGTAGTAATCTATCAATCTTTATTGTCAACTACAATTTACATTGCGATCGAGATTTTAGTTTCAGTTCAAATTGTTCATAGCAATACATCACATACATTTGGGGTGGGGAGGCTGAGAGGGGGAACGGATCCACTGAGGCCATGCGTGCCGCAGAACGCTGCTAGTAGCGCATCCTTATGACTTGCCAGGTTCCCACCGGTTACCTGGCTTCCCAGGTGATTACCTATAGCGGCGCCTTTATCTCTGTGGAAAGATAGGAGTCACATTGGGGAAGAGAGAGGAAAAAGCATATTTTACAATTTATCCTTGACATGATACAGTTTGAAATATAAAAAAAACTCATCACAAGAAAAGCACATTAAAACACGAGACAGACATTTTAGCAGAGGGTCACATCAGAGGCGTAGTCAAAAGAAGTCAATCTGACATTTGAAACATTTGTTGTGTGTGCATGATTGTTCAATATGTCCATGAACGCTGACCACAGGCAATGTCCTTGATGAGATGGAAGTTTATCAACAGTTATGGGAGCATCCACAGATGTTCGCGGGTAGGAGAGGGGGAAGCAGTTCTTCTTTGCCCTTTTTTGCCATATCATCCATGGTAGGTTAGATAAAATAAGTAATACTTGGTTTTGGAGCGCTTTTTTATTGTGCATTACTGAATCGATAATAACTACAGGAAGAACATCAAACTA